GACTGCGGAAGTCCCCATATGTTTTTTGTTTTATTGATATTATCGATAAATAGTCGACATCGTTGGGCAGTCATACAAACAAATATAGAAAAAATAGTCCATAATATTGTCCAAATTGTTCGTAAAAGACGAAATATATTATCGAAATGTATCACATCTAGTCACACAAGATTGTTAACTGACACAGATCCTCGACATATTGAAAGATCAATGAGGAATAGAGATACTAGAACACAAAAATTAGCTACCAAGGCGATAAATATAGGTAGAATTGGTCTATTTGCAGCAGTCACGAAAAATAAACGAACAATTTTGTAAAAAAATCCAATAATTAAAAATCGAATGATTATAAGCATGTTTTTATCTGACGAAACAAAAATTACCCTTTGGCAATTGGATGGCAAGGAATATTACTGGCCACACTGTTTTTATCTGACGAAACAAAAATTACCCTTTGGCAATTGGATGGCAAGGAATATTACTGGCCACACTTACACCACATGGACGGCTGAAATGAAGCTCCCGCTGAACATAATGGCCGATTAAAACCACTAACTGCAACAAGATACTGAGAGTAACGGTGTCAGCTTTTCAAGTCGACTGCGCAACCCAATGATTTATGCGATAAGCAGAATACTGCCCTGAGAACTGCAACAGGGTGTCTTCTCATGATTCCAGTGGACCATCTTCATGAGGAGAGGAAGATCTTACCTGTGCATACAATTATATGTAGTCGATGCAGTACTTTCTTGGGTGTTATAGTCGGGAACACACCTGTCATCGCCTTATAGACAGAACTTCTATGAGTTCTGCCAGACAATAAATAACCACTCCCATGTAGTTTGTTATTACAACAACAAAAAGTTAGCAAACTGTAAAATATGGCAGGGGGAAGTTTGATGGTTTGTAGTTGTTTTAACTGGTGCAACCTTGGTCCGGTGGCTTTGATAGAATGTATAATGAAGATTAGAAGATTAGAAGATTATATAAATATTTTCCACCAATTTGCTAGAATTGGTGAAGCGCAAGCCCCTTGTCCCTTAATCCAATCGAAAATTAATTTAAAAATGTAATATAATAAATAAGAAACCAAACCTGCGCTCTCATTTGTAATGGTTAAATGAAGGAATTTCTCGACATTCGTGCACTTTGCTCACCAATGTATATCCAGTAGAATTCCGGTTTAACGATTATGCGATATCACGATGTAACGATGAATCAAAATATGTATTTTGTATTTATATGTATTTTGAATTGATGGAAGAGGCCACTGTGGGGAAAATTGAAATAAATAATTTAAGCCTACGTTTGTTTTACCTGATGAAAATGGAGGTTATCATTCGTGAAAATTGCTCTATTACTGTTTACAGTCCAAGCGACAATAGATAAAGTTATACAGTATCTACATATCTATTGAAATGTGTAAATCGAGATGAACATTGTTCTGCGACAAAAGTTTGATATGACCGTCTATATTACCGACTTACGTCCACTAATGCAAACATTCTTATATGTCAGACAATATATATGTGCACGCTAATATTCATAATTATGTATGTAACGTCTTCCATATAAATATTTATTGCAGATGTCCGATTGGTGTGCTTAAACGAATGGAAACGGAAGAGAAGTGCGACGTTCGGTAGTTACATTTTGTGTTTATGTGGACATTTACGGATATTAAGGAGAGACATCAATAATGATTTGTGTCAAAGGGACAGGCGGCAGGCAGGAACTCTCCAGTTTACATACTCTTAAAACTCATCTGTGGCAGGGAATGAACACAAATTAGTTTAATTTAGTTTTCACGCCTATTTCGAAGCATCCCTTAAACGGATGTTTACCACAGTTGAGAATGTGCATGTTTCAATACGGCACTGCTCAGCAAACACACGCATACATTAGCAGCACACGCCCACATCATTAAACAAATACTGCGCAACAAATGCTGGCGTATGGTTACAGCCAACACGCGCCGCATCCGTATTACACGTGTTACTGCCTCGACCATCGACCATCAGTAGCTGCCTGTTTTGCATCCCTGAATCGCATGCATTTTGGATATCATTTAAATATGTTTTCCATTAACACCTCGCCAGCACAATAAATTTCACCGACAAAATTGGGGGATATTTAACTGTGATGAAATAAAACTAATGATGGAAGCTGCAGGTCACTTATATTCAGATGACGGTATTGAGACACTTTTCAAACTAGCTTCTTTTGCAATACGTAGACAAAATGAAGTATTACATGCCGGATGGGCATATTGATGATAATGAATACACGAAACGAAGCGTATTGTAACTACCTACCGGAAAGAAGGACCATTATTATGATCAATGGGTCGTATTTTTACAATTCTAAACTCTACTACTATCGCTCAGTTTTTTGTTGTTTTTGTGGGTTTGGTTGCAATATACGCGATAATATTTTCGGTTTGTATATAACCCATACCAAATACGAAAAAATATCAAATTACAGCGAATTCTGTTGAAAACGCGCTCAAACCCCTCAAGTTCCGAAAATGGCGGATAATGATATATGAGGGCTACTCAAAAAATTGGACCAATATTGATCATTTTAGGAGAAAAGATTTGCTACCCATGGGGGCTACTCAAAAAAGTGGACCGTTACTGATAATATTGATTTGGTACCCAATAAGAACCTAAAGTGACAACTTACAGCAAATTCGATTGAAAAACACACTCAAAAACCTCAACTTACTAAAATTTTGGCGGCAACTTTGTATGTGGAGAGATTTGGTTTTATGTTTAACACATTTTTGTAGCGGTGTTTTTTCCAACGTTCCGATTTTTTATACTATAATTTTGAGTAAAAAAAAGAAATTTTATCGATATCACACTTATATCAAACGGACTACAAATTCAAGTCAACAATTAGTTAGTATCCGACAAGAAGTCTATTCCGAACAGAAGTGAGTTTCACTTAGGATGGCGGGTCCCACAACAACGGATTGATCTGAAACAACATTTCCGTTGCGACCAACATCTTCCAACGAAACAAGAAGATCCCCGGAACTGTTTATCAGCTACGTTTTAGCGGTTTTCTCAGATTCCCAGACAGCATATTTATTAAACTAGTAGCATTCTTCAGCGGTAGGAAATCAATGTCCATACTGTTAGCAACATTGAATGGAGAGATGAGAATGCAACTGAATGTAAAAGTTAATGGACGTAATTTACTACCCTCCAGATCAGTGTCGATATATTTGATATTTGGAAGAAATGTTCCCACATTCGAACTTCATTTGCAAAACCAAGAACTGCGATGGTAGAAAATGCCCTGAACACTTTTTTGAACGATCTATGGCCAGTGCATATAAAAAACGAACGAATGTATTTAGAATAAGAAAATGGGTTAACCAATGTAAATTGCCCTCTTTATAAATGTATGTAAAATTATATGAAAATGACAACAAATGGGTAAAACATTGTCATTCCCCCATATACGTGCAATGCACAAGCAGCACATCATATTTATGGCTCGTAGAGGGGAAGTTTTATCTTTGCAAGTTATCAACCTCACCTATTCTCAGCAAATTCTCATCGTACTTACTGGAAATATTTAGTCACCACGGGGACAACTGTGCAACTACTTGGAGAAAAGAAAAATAAAATGTCGGCATAATTGTTTTGTTTGTTTTTTATTTAGTGTGTTTTTTTTTTTATTCGCATGTTTTTTCTGCTTTTTTCACTTTCGCACATACATATAATTTATACAATTTTTGTATATAGATAAATTTACAAACTACATAATATCGAAGACTACAATTTAGGTGTATGTATAGTATAATTAGTATATGAAATTATGTTAGTTACTTTATCTGTCTTACGTCTTAATATTATTACTTTTTTGTATTTGTTTTTTTGCTTTTTTAACACTTATCGCACTTAAAGAAAAGTGTCGCTTAAAAATATCACAGCTCAAACTGGCGTCAAAATCTTATTACTTTTAACAGCTTCAGTGCTTTGGTAGACCAACATTCTTCCATCCGCTATGGACGCTGGAACGGCTGACCCTAATGTTATAGTTAAATGGGACAGCCCTATTCCCATCATTTTTCTTTAATTTGCCTGATCAACTACTTTGTATGTATGTATGTACGTCTAAATACTACCTTTGATAAATCCTAAATACAACACATTTATTGCTTAAAACACTTATGGACATGCACAACATCAATATAATTCTACAACATAAATAATATATTCTGCATATTTTTCACTTTCTTTTTCAGTTTCTGTTTTTTGTTTATCTATTATATATTTCGTATAATCTATCACTACACACAACATTCATGAATGTAATACCAATCAACTCTACAATATGATCGGAACTTGTATTATCTTTAATGATTATCAACTTTTGCTTTTGTTTGGTGTTTACTGCTTCTCTTCCTCTCCTATTTGACGGCTATTTAGTGCAGGGCAGAAATGAATTACATGGCCGAACCTTAGCCAAAATCCACAAGTCTTAGCCTATGGCTATTTGTGCAGCTCATCTCGTCGTCGTTTGCATTATAGAAATGGCCGAACGATTTAATGTTTCACATGCATAAGCACGTATGTATGTATATGTGTAGATGTAATTCTTATCTGAAGCCTTTTGCGGTACTGAAATCTATTGCTTATCGTTAATTAACTAGAGAACATTAGATAGGAGGGTTGAGGGGAAATCAGTAAATGTATGTTTAACAGTTAATGCACAGAAACTACATAATATGCATGTTTAAATATACTTGTTTGTATGTATCTATGAGAGCGTTGCCTAAATGCGGGGATTGCTTTCAACAGTCATTGTCAAAATATTGCTTATTAAGTTTTGTTGTTCCGAGGAGACTCGGTGGTTTCTCATTCGAATTGCGAACAACGAAAAATATCAACGAAAACAAACAAAAGAACGAATGCATAACATAATGTGAACTCAAAATGAGAAATTTAGATTTAATGACTAAAGTCACCGGCGAGCCTGTCATTTCATCTGGCCAACCATACAATGGCAATCGTGATCAAACTGGTCACATGTATGCTAAACCAAGTGGCATGTTGCCTGCATGACGATGATTCCGAACCACTCAACGCCAGTGTTTCTATAAACGAACTTCGGCTGCTGCGCACTGATGCCTCGCTGAGGTGATTAGTCTCCAAGTCGTGCAAAACAGGTAATTCTAGTTGAGGTATCGTCTCTGTGACAAATAGTCGTTTTGGTTTACAGCGACGTGGCTCCCGGTACGTTTTGCTAATGTTCTTATTGTAGCCGATCAAGTGCTCAGATATCTGCAAAGGAAAAACAAAACAAAAAGACGATGCAAAATATTAAAAAAAAACCATGGAACGTTTCTTGTCACTGAGGACGAGTAAATTATACGGAAATGCCATAAATTATGCAAATATAACCGTTGGCGAATATTTAGTGCATTTTTACGGCAAAATTTGCGCTAATCCGACTATTCATAGGTCGTCAGAAATATATGATATTTTTGCTATAATGTTGGTACTTGTTAAAATGTAGAATGCTTACCGGCAATTGTTCATGGTGGGCACCGCTACAAATTGGTTTGAAGGTGCCACGCAATGTTGCCTCTTGGAATTTGTCAAACTGATGCTCCCAATCGTACGACAATAACCGAGTCTCCAATGTCATACCGGCCAATTCAGGGGGCGATGCTATAACAACCGGATTCGATGCCCTGAGGAAATGAATAAAAGAGAGAAAAAATACAGGTAAAATCACAGAAATTGCCAACGTACATTTTTGTGTGTATCCGTTCGGATAAAATAGCGAACAACAGTGGACGACATGAGAGTAACAAATTTGCCACTAACAAAAACGAAATGAAAACAACAATAAACTTACATAGCCAATTGTTCGATGCCCAGTGAATGTAAGACGGTGGGCAAACTGGGCAGTGAGTGGCAGGTTGTCAGACTTTTCTGGCGGGGATAGTAAAGTGTTAGCACTGTACACGATTCCTCCTTCATGGTTAGTCCACCTGAGCAGCGCCAAGGAAATTACGAAAAGAAACAGAACAGAACAGAATAAAATAAAATGATGTCAGGATAATGATCGTAATTACTTAAATTGGGCAAACACGTTTAACAACACCTTGTGGCAAATTGTGTTAGACTGCGAATGTGCCGGCGCAAAGTTAAAGGCTCGACCCAACAGACATGTACATGTGCACACATATGTACGTGTGTATGTTTCATCTAATAAATACATGTGTACGACGTAGCATGTCTAATATACACTCACACAAATGCCACATGTCTGGAATGGAGAAACTAACTCATTCAGGTAATTCTGCTAACTTACCGAGTGTAATTGCCTTTCGTGACGAACTATCATAAATGCACTCCGCAACCAATCTATCGCCTGGCATGGAGCGCACAGGATGGGAAAGACGTCGATAGTCTTGATAGCTGGGGTCGACGTTGCTATCATAAGCGATGGGAAAGAGTTCTTCGTTCTGTCGTATCTGTAAAATGCCATTAAAAACGGAATATTGTGCTCACATTAGACTTTGGCCAATTAATAATTCAAACGCCAAATCGATTTAAGAACATTAAACCGCCAAGCAGCCAGCAACCAAACACACAGACGCACTGATTCACAATTTTCCGACAAATACTCGCCTCTCCATAGTTATCATCAAACGCTGACATACGTAATGTTTGGGAATCTTGTAAGAGGTCACCCACTATCGTCGTACAGCCATTCATTGGCACCAAAAGCATTACGTTCGTTGCTAACGATGTCATATGGAGAATTTGCGCGTTAAGCTAAATTATGTCAACTTACCGTCTACATTGTTTGGCGTTTTGGCTGCTTGCTCGACTGTTCGACCAATAGAAGGCCGCCATCGATTTGGCTACTTTAAGTGGATAAGGCAACAATGGAATGGAGAAATTGAATACAAATCAACTGCTTTTGACACATCAACCGTGCGGACGCATCAACGGCTTCTTTATAATTGGACTTAATTTGCGCAGCCCTATTTACATGCTACCCACACGAAGTGGACAAATCATACCAAACCAATAGTTGATTGATTAAATTTCTCCATTAAATTGCCATACCACAATACCATAGCATGGAAAGGGAGACGAACGATTGTCTTACCTGGCGCAACTTGATCTCCCGACCAATTTGATGGGTGCGCATCATGACGGCAAAAATATTAATACCCTGAGGGGGGAATGCTGATCCTGTGCAATCTTCCATGCAATGACCCTGTGAAATTACCCGTTCCTGTCCTGGCGGAATAATGTGCCTCCAATTGGGATCCATACCTGTACACGACACACACACACACGATAAAGAAAACAAAAATACCGATAGTAATTAGTACGGCTCAATTTTGATTGACCACATGCACACACGAATTTCGTCCGAAATGCAGGTGAATGTGTGTTTCCGTCTATCGAACTTACCAACTGACAGAACACCGGCATCGTGTGGTCGCAGGTCCTGTGTGAATACAATTTTCAGGCCAGAACTGTCTGTCATGCGATGTGTTTGGTAAGGCTCGAATTCGGCATTTAAGTTGCTATAATGTGTTTCCATCAAATAGTATTTGTTATGTTTGGATTCCAGTGGGTAACCAGCTTCAGGGGGGAACACAAAGCCCTAAAGTGAAAACAAAATAAAAAAGAAACACAAACAACAATGACTTCATGTTGTCTCAAAACAAATTGATGGCTACACAGCCTGCGGAACATACCTCCGAACCCCTTGTCCAAGAGGCGACAATTGCATTGCAATTTAAAGATAAGCTGCTGGCACCCATGCACAGTTGACCACCTCCACGCGACATTTCTTCCAGCTTTACACTATTGCCTTGGCATTCGTACAAGGTAATTTGCTGTAAATAGTGATAGCTCCACGAGGAATCGAAAATCGGCTCATACTAAGATAAAAAAAAATGGTGAGCGATGTAAAATCGTAGAACAAAAACCCCATAAGAGTGTCTTAGTACCTTTACTATGTGGTATTTCCGATCGAGTTTGTCTAATTTGAACATTGTACACCAAAATTGTGAATCATCGCCATATGGTAGCTCCACATCCTGATTGCGCAGTTCCAAAGTTCGGGCTGATGGCTCGTAGCGGGGCAAATCCGACGGGGTCTTCTGTAACAAAAGTACAGAACGATACGGTCTCCAAGCCTCTATTGGATTGGGAAGGGGCGACAGTGCATGTGAACCTATGGCTGGATCTTCATCATAGTACATAAACATGACCCGCATTGTGTTGTTCTGCAAAGGCAATGGTGTGAGTATAGATATGTTGCGACTAACCAAGACTTTCATACTTACGGAAATGACAATGTCATGTTTATTGTCGCAAGTGTCGAGCTTTCTACGAAAACGTAACACGGTGTGAGTACTGTTTTCATATCCTTTCATAAGGCTATAGTCCTGCGATGGGTCAATTTGGGGTTCAGCTGAGCCGAGGCTATCAACATAGCGATCCTGGAAAAATGTGTGTCCTCCATTCACCCAACCGACAGCCATGTCGGCACCGACTTGATTTCCATCTTTAGAAAAACCAAACCCTACGTAGCCCAAGGTTCGTACTTGGATTTCGAACGTTATATCCTGATTAATGATTGTCCAGTAAACGCGAAAATCCTCATTCAAATCAACGGCATGATCCCAATTCATGGCCGTTTCATACTCCAAGTTGCTGTAGGACGTCTGCGGTGACAGCATAGCAGCATCTGTGATTGTCGGGCCAGTGCCAATGACGGCCAACATTGTCGCAATCAGTCCGATAATGGAGACGGTCGATTGCATTGATAAGCTGAGCTCATGTTGCTCCATTGTGGTGTGGAGAATTTTGTATTGTTGAATAGTATGTTAGTGTTTGGAGTCTTGGCCAAGAGTAACTGCAGTAGTTATTTTCTCTTTTGATTGTGCAGCAGACTGCAGATTAGTAATATATTTTGCTGTTTACTTAACAAATATTGCACTAAGAATGCGTGCAGGTTTTTCTTTTCTACTCTTCTTTAAAGCAATTCCATGAGAATCTTGTGAGGATGATTATGTGCTATTGCTGACGTTGTTGTCGTTCGTTTTATTTAAAAATCAGCAAAACTGTTGTGTACAATCACAAACATTTTGTCTGTGTCAAGTTTACTTATGTGTGTTGGTGATTGTGTTAATACAAGAGGCACTAATTACATTTAATGTTGTTGTTTATGTTCCTGTTACAACGACCTTAAAGAAATCAACTTAAATCTTTAGACTGAGTGAGAGAAACACTCTTAAAAGGGTGGTTATCTTTCGATTTTTTTTTCAGCTCTGCTGATGGACTTCGTGTAATGCTCGCATGTAAAGCACCTTGATGCGGCATATGCTTGCTTCCGTTTTCTTTAGCAAATTCCCTCTGGTAGCTGTTCTCGTCGTTTACAATTCCTTTCTGTTGAAAATACTATTCTATTTTTACACCCCATCCGCAAATGATTATGATTAATGCGAGCACTTGTGCTGGTTGTTGGGCGTTCTTTATGGGTGGGAGCTGTGGGAGATGTGATGCTTAGAATTTGTATATATTCTTGTGGGTGTGCTGGATTTTTCCCTTGCTCTCTTCAATTCACATTTGTTAATGTTTCAGGGGACACAAGTTAATTTCCATAGTTTCTGTTTTTATTAAAGCAAATTATAAAAGATTTACAATGTTAAAAGTGCATTTGCATAAGTATTTTTTCATAATTGTGATCATGTCAGTCAAGCTTCGACATGTAGGCTATTATATTTGATATTATAGATATTAACTTAGTAAATGAAGACTAATTTATTTGTTTAAATTATTATTAATTGTTTAACTATTGTAGTAACTGATTCTGTATGTGGTTCCAACGTTTCTTTCTTGGTGAAAATTACATATAATCTAGATTTTGGTATGGCAGCTGACACTAATAGGACGCTATTAGGTTATGTGAACTGGTGCGATATCATAAAATCCAATTGTGTTTATTGCCACAGATAATATCTGTCCCTGATGCGTCTACTTTTGTGTTGTGGGTGTGAGACACCAATTACATTAACTTTTCCATAAATGAGTGGAAGTCGGGTTATATGTATTTTTTCTCATGTATTTATACTGGTGTCTTTTATAAACATCTTCATACAAGTAGAGCAATAAAATCAATTATGAATTTCATATGCCGTTCGTGCTTAGAGCCTATTGTCATTGCTGAGAATATTGTGTTTTATATTTCTTCTCGTCCGATCGGAATTAGAATAGTCAAAATTCAATTGTTTGATTTATAAATGAGCACTACTTTTTACTTATTGTTACTGGTCGCTCAGTCGTTTTATTATGCTGGTATGGATGCTGATGACTGGTTGTCTGGTGCAGGCGAACATTTTGATAAATACCACAAATGTTCATACAAACTTTTACGTATTTCATTCATACGAGACTGCTCCATTTCTATAACGATGTGACTACAAGTCAACACTCGTACGAATGAACATGAACGTGAAAACGTTGTGATCTTAGCAAAGAATGATTCTACATGTTTAGGTGACTACTATTAAGTGTGATTGTGTATGTGTGCAATGGAAGGGTTGTGCTCCATTGGCAGAATATGGAAGTGTTGAAATCTTCGTGAGAATGTCGTAAATCCCTTTGGAAATGGGTCTGACAGAGGACAGATGATGGTGGTGGTGTGAGGACACATTGCTACCCTTACCTCCGGCAGTCCAAGCATTGAATCCCTTGGGTATGGTTATGTCTAGATTTGATTTTCCATTTCGTATTCGATTTGCTTTTGTTATCGTTTTTCATAAATTTTCTTCAGGTACAAAACACACTCAACGAATAAGACTGAATTGAATTGTGGACTCACACGCAAACACACAGACATTGTATGTATGTCTGTATAATGCCATCGATTCTTAGATATTGCATGCGTTACGTGCGTAAATGAAAGTTGTTTGCTTGCAAATCGAATATACACACATACATACTACATTCAAAACGGACGATTATATAACGGAAGGAAACTGAAGTTGACTCGATTAATTCAAGTCATAGAACTTTTTGTTGTTGTTGTTGTATATGTTATAGTACCACAACTACATTACAAGAATTATTAGAAATCGGTAGCAGAAAACAGCTAGTACGTGATGGCAATATGCAATTGGTTCAATTCAATCCAAGTGACGTTTGTGGACCTTTCATTCATTACGTACGATTAAAGCTTAAATTGTAGGACCTTTTGGGAAAAGGTAAATCTCAGCACATGGTTTGCACAAATACAGCAGCAAAAAAAAAAAAAACAAGCAAACTTGACTATATTTGTTCAAACTATTATTTTAAGACAATTTTTTTAGGAATTTCATTTGGGAACGCACGCATACCCATCAGTATATGCATACAAATAATAAGGGCGCTCAGTTTAAATGATGAACGGGACAAATATGAAAATGATTAATATTCAATGTAAATATTTCATTTTTTTTCAATTATGTTTCCATGTCAAAATATGCATTCTGACGTGTAAGTGTCACTTGTATAGATGCAGTCCATTGTTGTTGTTCTTGTCGTAGCACAACAAATGTCTATAAATGGTGTTCATTTTCATTGGTGTTGTTGTTTTTGTTGACACAGGAATACAAGAGAACATTAACAACGACCACATCAGAGCCAGGAATATGACACTCATCTAAACACTAATATCAAAAACAAGACATGTCATGTAAAGAGCAAAAACAAAAAAGAAAATAACAAAGCCAGCGATAACAACAATAGCCATAATAGGAGCAAAAAATCTCATGGGCGACTGCCATGATGTGATCCCCTAGTGTAAAATCCAAATGCCACACAATGCACCATCACCATTTTAAGTGCCGTAGTGACATTTCGTTTATCGAACATCGTCAGAAAAATTGACGTAATAATCATGAACATATCACATATAGAACATACATACATATACATAATTCATTTAGTAAACAACAAGTATGCTTGCATTTGAAAGACGAATTGATCACCTTTTGGCATATTCTGTCCACATTGCAGTGTTGTTGTAACGATGGATGTACATATCTATGTAATACAACTTTATCAATCCAATAAAGTTTTTAAATTAATTATCACATTGGTTATAGTTATTCTAAAAATGTGTCTGTGGTTGTGCTGGTTTTGGTATTTCACATGTCGACGACAATGTGAACGAAAATCTATTTCGTTTGAAGTTCCGAAATGTGAAAAAGCTTTTATAATGCACTCCTCTTCCATTTGATGCGGAGGCACTGCACCTTAAATATTGTAGGTATGTATTGTACAACATGTTTGTGTGTGTACGTTCGAACATTTGTTTGTTCATCTGACTTTGCCCATCAATGTATAGTTGGTGGGAATTCCATAGATTTACTGCCACACAAGCGAATTGCTTCGTGGTGGTGGCAGTGGTGCTGAATAGGTGATGCACCGTACGTACACTCGCTCACCTTAACTCGTTTTGTGATGAGGCTGGCTGGTTGGCTTCTTTGTTCACCTTACTCCGCTTCATTTCTGCCTGCTTGATTTTTGTCTATTCACTCACTAAGTCAGCCGAGACATCTTTTGACAACAAACATAAAAAGTATTTGTTTTTCTTTTGTGCAAAGGCATTGTCTATATCGACATACATACAAACATACACAAGTACACAAATTCATACAAACAGCATTGAATGAACGTACACAAATGTCGATGATGTATGTACATATTTCGTTGCTGGTTGTCGTTTACATCGTTGTTGTTGTTGTTGGCAATGATGAAGATGATTGTGTTGCTGGTGTCGCAGCTTTAATAAAGCAATCAAGAAAACAAATATTTGTGCAGCCCACGCGATGTTCAATAAGACCGTCGTCTACTCCATCCATCTAACCATCCACAACAGCTAATACGACTGTAAAAAGTTCACATCCATACACAACACATTTACATAACCACAACAACAACAACACCAAACAAACCAATCTGTTCAAGTCAAGTTATTCGGTTTTGTTGGAAGACAACGCTTACATTTGTACAATTTGCGCAATTGTCACAACCCCATGGAAAATCGCCGTCGTCAACACTACAGTTGTTGGTGTCATAGTCATCGCATAATAATGCACTGTAGTTTCTGTAGCTTGCCAATCTCCTTTCCGTTGTAATCGTGTTACCGATGACTTTTCGTTAGACAATTATACCCCTCCATTCACTTCAATCGGTACATTGCGGATGTCAAACTATGGGCCCCTCTCTGCGAGCCCCCATCCGCAAAACATTTAAATGGCAAACAACATGTGATTCATAGCTTACAATTGATCATTACTTAGCCAGTGTTGAGCGTTGTTGGCTCTTTCAGCTGCATTTCAAATTCCATCATCGTCATCATCATTGGAAGTAGCATCTGCATTTATCGGTATCGCATGGCAGCACTTACCGTATTTAGTGCCCAGTTGTTTGTGCATGTGTATTTTTGTTTTCTTTCATTTTTTACTGAAGACGGTCGGATTGAATGTAATAGAGTTTGTCTTTTTTGTTTCTTGCTTAAATATCAAACGACATTGCAGTGGATGAACTATGCCATTATGCGAACTAACGACATACTTATTACACAGTGCATCATCAGCTGAAGCTGTTGCTATCGGCACAGCCGTGCTAGTGTTGGTGTGCTGCTGTATTTTTCCTTCATTATTGTATAGCTATTTCAAAACGAAGTAACCAAGTGATCTC